TAGGTCTCCAGTCCATCACAGAAACACACAGACAAACAACCATTCACTCTCTCTCTCACCTAGAGACAATTTAAAGTTACCAATCAGCCTAACATGCATGTTTTTGGTCTGTGGGAGGAAACTGGAGTACCTGGAGAAAACTCACGCAACACAAAGAGAACATGCAAACTCCACCCAGATGGGATTTGAACCTGTGACCTTCTTGCTGAGAGGCAACATCTCTACCAACTGAGCCACTGTGCCACCCAAAATTAAATAAAAAAGTCAATTTTATATTTTAAAAACAAACCTTTTGGTCAACATGCAAAACAATAAAAATAGTAATAAAATGAAACAGGACACAAAAGACCACAAAAAAAAAAAAACCTTCTAAATATAATAAGACATAAAATAAAACTATTAAAATGAAGGTCAAACTTGATTCAAGGGTAGATGTTTGAGTTCTCAAGCATGGTGACCAAACATAGCAAGAAACCACCTCACACCAACAGTCCAGCACGGTGGCGCAGGGTTAATGGTTTGGGCCTCTAGCCCTGGAGTGGACCATGAACTTCATTTTCTGCAGCCCACACGGCACAACGCGAGTTGACAGTGACATCAGGCTGCACTTGTGATGACCAGCTGCCAACCCTGCCCATGCTCAGGTCACACATCAGAGGTGTGTTCTGTAACCTAGCAACAGCTGCTTGTTACTTTGGCAACGCAGGCCTACTAGCGCTCATTTGGTTTGTGTGATGCGTTGCTTCATCTTTTTTTTTAAACCTTCATGATGCAAGTTCCACTTATTTGGTTTTAGATAAAGAAAAAGTTTATTTTTGCAGAATAAAGACAACCTAAGAGTTAAAAATGTCCTTGTGCCGAAAGGCTAAGAGAGATCCCAACAAGGTAAAAACAAATGACGAGTCTCTAAATAGTGTTTCCCCTCCCTGAATAAACAGCTGGAAGTAAAGAGGAAGACAGGTCAGAGTGACATCTCACTGCAGAGCTCTCCATGTGGAAGGATAACTGTACGGTATAAAGATGACCAGTGTTTTCTAGCAGGTTAGAAAACTGCAGATATAACATATTTTTACTTCGTTTCTGCATTTCTCAAAAAAAAAAAAAAAAAAAAAGAAGAAACAAAGAGCACGCCTTACAAATGTGAACCAATAGCAACAAGAAGATAAATATGTGATTAGAAAGGCTGCGGAGTAATTAGTCCACACGTTTATGCAGGTCGTCCGACTTCTGTGTTTACAGTCTGATAATCTGAGTGTGTCAGGAACAACAGCAACAGAGTATTTTACTGAAGCCAGCTACTGTCTGTTTATTCAGTTTAAAATACGTTTATTCTCTCAGTTCATATAGTTTCCTTTAAAATGTTCTTCTGAAACATGCACCATTTCTCAAAAACTGCAGCCAGGTCAACTAAATATTTGGTCCATTAACGTAAAGTAAAAACTTTTTTCAAGAAGCTGAATATTCTGCTTCCATCATGAATGTATGACAGTCATTAAGTTTTACAACTAAACACAAAAATAAACGTTTACGTACTGAAAATGCTTAAAGGAATAGTTCAAATCGTAGTTAGCTCTTTACATTACAACAATAAACTTTATTTATAAAGCACTTTAAAAACAACACTGTTGGCCTAAGTGCTGTAAACTAACACATACAAGAATAAAACGACAGAAAATCAACTGAAACCGTAAAAACAATGAACTGTTAAAATCACAAAACAGCAAAGAGTAAAAACAATTAAATTAATTAAAAACAGTAAAACCAACATGTCAAGCGGAGTTAAAAGCCAAAGAGAAAAAAAGTCTGAGAAGACTTAAAAACAGGAAGTGAGTCATCTTAGAAGTGTAGAACCACTGGACTGAGGAACAGCTTCTACCCTGAAGCTGTTAGACTCATGAATTCCTAACCAGGAAAATAATAATAATAATACTTTATTTATAAAGCCCTTTAAAACAACCACAGCTGCCACAAAGTGTTGTACATAAAATCACTGTAATGCCAATTTAAATGGTGATGTTACTTTATATGTGCTGCTGATTATCAATGCTGCTGATTTCTTGCCTTTAAGCTGCTGTATTCATACCCATCTGCTCACTACAGACTCAGTTCAGGCTGCTGCTTAATACACCGTTTTATTTTACATTATTATTGTTTAGCGTATATCTTAGATCCTTATATACAGTTTCTTTTTATACTTTATAGTTTTGCTATTAATGTGTTTAACTGGGACCTTGAGAGGAGTACACAATTTAATTCCACCTCATGTACCGCATGTGATGTGAATGACAATAAAGAGCCTTGAACCTTGAAAACAAAGTTTAATGGACCTAACTAACGAGCTAATGGTCAGTCCATATGAGTCTGAGACCCATAGATATCATATAAACACTAGATAACAAACTGTTCTATTTTGTATAGGCTCCGCCCTTTAAGCTATCGCTAGTGGGTTTCATCTCATCGTGCGCAGCACTGAAAACTTTAGTCCATGCCCACCTACTGCGTGGGCCTCATCCCCAGTCCATATAAATTAAGGTAAGACCGGGTAATCGGCTCCCATTTTTTCTTCAGCCAGCTAGCTAGCACTGTCAGAAGAACGAAGAAGGAAAAGCTGTCCAGCTTTGACCGGCACAACTTTTGCTAAGGATGCCTGGGTCTCTGCCACGCCACCTCCTGCCGTCCCGGTGAGCTCTTCCTCCCTGAGGAGAAGCAGACGAGCAGCCTTGTTCAAGGTAAGCACCGAGGAGTGATTTTCCGTGGCGAGCCACTACCCGACACCATCGCCTTGTCTAACGTGTTTTTTCATCTCGGTAATCGAATGATTTCCTTGAAAAAGGCGATGTTAGCAGCAGCCTCGCTGAATGTTTTTCCGTGGAGGGCCGCTACCCGCTGGATGACGCCATCGCCTTGTCTAACGTGTTTTTTCCTCTCTGTAATCAAATGATTTCCTCGAAAAAGGCGTTGTTGGCAGCAGCTCCACTGACTAGGTTTTTTTTTTCTGTGGCGGGATGCTATGCGCGGGACGATGCCACCACCTTCTTTGACACAGAGTCACGCAGTGAATCGAATGATTCCTCTGAGAAAGGCGATGCAGAGCTGCCCCTTCCCTCTTAGAGAGCGTAGTGATGGAAGACGAGTGGCCGGGCGTATGCTCAGCCACCTCGGATCTTCCCACGTTGGCGACCACACTGCTCCCAGCCATCGGCGCCCTCCTCTCGGAGCTGCCCAGCATAATCCAGAAGGACGTTAACACAAGGGACTTTCCGTCCCCCATCTCCCTCTGCCCTGATCGGATGATCTGGCGGCAAGGTTGGCTCCGCCCCGGCTTGTCGCCCTGACCCCATCTGGCCTCGATGTCCAGCTGTGACGTCACACTGGAACGAGGCTACAGCTGGGCCCGGCAAGCTGAAGACATCCGTCTCCACCTTCGCCTCCATCTCCAGAGTGGAGGGTTTTACCGGTCGGTGGTTTTCCCTCAGTCCCCCCAGGTGGCACTTGGGGCAAAAGTTTCCAGGATGGACCAGCAACCTGTCCCTCCAGGGAAGCATGAGCACATCGTGGCAAGGTCTCCAACCGAGCTCACCAGTGCTCATTCCAGACGACAGCAGCTTGGCCCTGCTGGCCTACAGCATCTCGAAAAGGCTGGAAGAAGCAGACCTGCTGGAGGTGACAAAGAGCTCTCTCTGTAAAGGTGCTGATGTCATCTTAAACATGTGCCACCTCTGCGGTCTGCCTGTCCCGCATCGTCACCTGGATGACCATGATCCAGAGGATCACTTGGCTCCGCCTCTCACCATCCTTGTCTGAGAGGCTGCAGAAAGACCTGCTGAAGGGCCTGCCTGTCCCGCATGGCCACCTGGATGACCATGATACAGAGGACCACTTGGCTCTACCTCTCGCCATCCTTGTCCACGAGGCTGCAGAAAGACCTACTGGAGGGCCCCATCACCCCAGAGGCGCAGTTCGGGGCCAACTTCAGGACCATCCTTGAGAAATCGCAGAGGTCCGAGGAGGTGTACATTGAGACTGTACACCATCTGGTGACGTCACAGTCCATCTCATTTCTTTTAGCAGCTAGCGTTTCATTGTTTTAGGTAAAGTTCTACAGTTTTAGCTTTAGCTCCGGTTCTGTTTAATTTAGCTTTTGGTGGTGTGTTGTTTCTTTAAATTAGTGACAGTTTCTTTTCGCTATTAGAAGTTTTGCTTAACTTTTATGTATTGTTGGGGGGGGGGGGGGGGTGTTACCTTCAACAACTCAGTTTCTGCTTCTTCACATCATTTCATCAGTACTCAGTTCAGTTTATTTATGTAGCGCCAACTCACGACAGAAGTCATCTCAGGGCACTGAACAGAAATATCCATATGTATACAAATAAGTTAACACTATTTATCTGAGGAGCAGAGCAAGCACGAAGGCAACAGTGGAAAGGAAAACCTCCCTCATGAGGTAGAAACCTTTAGCAGAACAAGGCTCAGGACAAGTGGACATCTGCTTCAACGACTGGGTTTGAGAGGAACAGGAAGGAGGAACACACATATCTACAGAGAAACAGCACTCAGCGTTTACACTGGCACGGAATGGAAAGTGGAAAAGTGCACTAGTGACTGGACATCTTGCTAACCCAACAGGCTAAAGGTAAAGTAACAGACACGGACATTTTGTTTTATATTACGTCTAAAATTGGAATTATTTGCCTGTCACTGTAGTCTCTACCACAGGCAGACCGGCTCATTAGCAACAGCCAGCTGTATTTCTTGCATTTTACATACGTTTTTGTGTCGGATACATTTTGTTAAACCTTCACAGCGTGAGTGGTTACTTAAAACAAAATACTAAGATTATTCAACAACAACTTAGAACAACATTCAGCTTCTACACACTTAAAATGGTAATTTATTTCATTGAATATAAGTATTTAATGTTCTGAACTGGAATTAATCTGCCAATCAGTGTTATAGCTCCAGTTAGTTGAGGACTTTCTCCGTGGGAGTATTTCTCCTACCTGCATGGAGTCGGCGCTGATTATTTCTCCCTGAAGCCGTTTTCCGAGCTCAATCGCCAGTTTGGACTTTCCTGTGCCAGTAGCTCCCAAAATCACCACCAAAGACGGGGCCATTGCTCTCCGCAAAACACACTGGCGAACGAGGATGGACGCCGCCATGATGCTGCCTGCTCGGCTTGCTCAGCTGATATACCGCGCATGCGCAGATGCCATGGCTGCTCGAAAAGGCGGGTTTTGTTGCCTGGCAACGGGGTGGACCGATGATTGAAAGACAAAAGGTCTGTAATTCTCCATGTAAATTGAGAATGAAAGATTTATGTGAATTAATTTAAATATTTCCGACTTGTTAATGTGTAGTTCCTCGACGACCTTTCACAATGTTCCCCCACAGTAAACGGATAAACTGTTATTGCTTCATAACGCTTTTCTACACATCAGCTTGTGGTGACGTATTAGTGGAAACTGCTTTACGGCGACATTTTTCCAACACATTTAGCCCGGTTGTTATGGAAACTGTCAGAGCTCTGCAGCAGCGCTCTAGATGCTTGCTGCCACGGTGGTAACCATGGAGACAGCAGAGAAACAACTGATATAGAAAATGAGTTCATTAATGCAAATGGTTTCCAACAATCATCTTATGGAGGTGGTAATGTACTTTCCTTTGAGATTAAAGGAATTTGTAAATTTATCTCCCAGTAAAACAAGAGAAATAAAAATATACATGTAACCCACTATTTTAAACCCAGCTGCAAACATTAAAAGACCAATCAAGATGGCAAACAATAAAATTTATTTATTTTTGACTTTTTACATAAAGGCTCATGAGGTACAGAGACAAAAAAGTGCTGAGACAAGGCTCAAAAATGACCAAAGCTGAACTCCCCAATAAGTAAGCAAAGCCCACTGCAGCCATGACTGTGCCGCTGCAAAGAGCAGTGATAAATACAAAATAACAATTAAATTAAAGTTCAGTGTGGCTAACTGCTGGTTTGTGCTGAATCAAACATCAAAAGAAAAAGTATCGAGAACAAAAATATCTGGGGTGTTTTGAGGTTTTATTACATACAGCACTCTAGAACCGGTGGTATTTTTCCTCTGAGACTCCATCTATACGGACCTTACCTGAGTTTTGGTAAAAGCAGGGCCTGCTACCGATCATTTTACAGTACTAGATCCAGATCCAAAGCTACATTCCTTTAATGCATGGCTTTTAGGAGAAATGAAAGGAGGGCAGCACCTGGTTTGAATAAATAAAAATTAAAATAATGGGAGAAAGCATTAAAAAATAAGGTCACTAAAGGCTATCCACAGCCAGAAGAATAATCGGTAGATCATCATTCATACACACAATCATGTCAGCTTTAAGTGAGCGCTGTAGTGATTACAATAGAGACAGGAGTGTTCAAATGCCTTCTGCTCCAGAAATAAAATAAAAATCATACATGCCAAGTTTTAGCAGACGAACACAAAAACAAAAAAAAACTGCCTGCTACAATCACAAAAACAGTCATCAGCTCACACTGAAACAACTCTGTAGGAAAATATAGTATAAAACTTTAGTCCCAACCGACTTGTACAAACGAAGCAACACTCGAGACAAAAACCAACAGGTTTCGCAACGAAAATAAAAACACGGTGATAAAGTGGTGTGATCGATGCTCAAAGTGTTTTCAGTTCAACTCTCATTAATTATTTTATTAACAAAAATAGAAGCTTTGAGTCATTTTCATTGAGAAGCCAGCGAGCTTTGGCCCCCTGCTGTCGGACTCAGGGGGCCCCTAACAAAAATGAGGAGTATAATCGAGAGTTCAGGTTTTGGTTCGAGGAGGTGGGGGCTGTACAGTAAAAGGATTTATATATACAGAAACATCCACTGAAAGGCTTCAAGGCATTCCGTTAAACGCAGAGCAAACAAAAGACAGGATGAAATAAAAACAAAGGATGGCTTAGATTTTTATATTACTCAAGAAAATAAATCGCCAATGTTTAAATTACCTTCACCTTTTGGCTGGTCCCCATGGCACAACAAGAGATCTTGGTAAATATTAGATTTTTTTTTGCAGAAATACTGTAGATTTCAACGCATGCAAAGCCAAATAATTCTCCCAAACAGGTCATTACTGAGGTCAAAACATGTGAAAATTAGATTATTATTAATATCGTCCCTGACGACAAAAACGGAGGCGAGATGAGGAGAGAGGGGACATTAGATGTTTGGAAGAAGAGCTGAAACAGAGCTGAACCTGACACGTAGTGGTTACATGTCGAGCACTAAAGGAAAGGGGGCTGTAAATATTAGATCTGCAAAGAGGAGTGCAGAAACATTGCAGCTGTGCAGGCACAACTGGAGCAGTTTGACCAGTGCAGCAGTTAACACCAAGGTTCTAGCGGTTCTTTTAAATAAGATGTTCTCAGCAGGCCTTCATGCTGCAAGTTATTATTTTATCTTTAAATAAAGGGAAAAAGAACAGTCTGACAAACCTTTGAGGAACCGAGAATCAGTCCCTAACTTTCTGATCAGGCAGCCCTCGGAAGCTAAATGTGCAAATCACAAAGCAAAGAGCAAAACAGAAAAGAAGAATAGCAACAATCCAGCAACTCAAAGTGAACATTAGTGTTTTTTTTTTCCTCCTTTGCGTAGTCCAGTTCAGCTCCCAGTGTCTGTGGCGGTTCCCGTCGTTCAGGACCGTTTGAGCTGGGCCAGCCGCTGCAGCAGCTGCAGCTGCCGTGCTCTCAGCTGCTTCCTCTCCTGAGCCTTCTGCCTCTCGCCGGCGTGCAGCTGCTGCAGGTACTCCGTGGCCCGAGTCAGGATGGCCACCTTCGGAGTCTTGGGGCAGTCCGCCAAGCCCGGGATCTCGTCCCGCAGCGACAGGAAGCGCGAGCGCAGGTCGTTCCGCCGCTTGCGCTCCAGGAAATTGTGCGCCCTGCGCTTGTCCGTGTCCTCGCAGTCCGAGGACTGGGGGCTCGACAGGTGGGAGGGGGGCTTTGATGGCGAGCTCTGAAGCTGGTGAGAAGACGAGGAGGAGTAGGGTAAAGACGATGGCGACGAGGAGGAGGTGGGCGAGGAGGCGCTGAGGGTGGGGGACTCCGACCTGATTCCGGCCACGGTGACGTGCGACTTCCGGCTGTCCAAGTTCAGGGGGGCGTGGCCAAGGCGGGGCTGGTGGTGGAGAGAGTTCAGGTGAGGGTGTGTCGCAGGAGCGAAGGCTTCCTGTCGAACCTTTTTCCGGGGCGGCTCAGACGCCACCGGCAGAACGTCCGGGGAGGGGGCAGCGTAGTTGTGCTGCTGTTGGTGGATGGAGATGTGGAACCGCTTGGTGCCAGGGTCATGGGGGTCCGCACGCACCGTTATAGTCACTGGTTTGCGGGTGGCGACCAGTCGGCAAGGTTTACGCTGCTGCTGCTGGTGGTGGTGCTCCACGGTCACCACATCAATTTCCTCCTCGTCATCGTCGTCATCGTCATCATCGTCGTCTTTGTCATCTTCATCATCTGAGGAAAAAACATATATGTAAAGAGATGTCATCATCATCATCGCCACCATTCATGCCGGAGTGAATGACTCTCAGCTTTTACATCCGAGCTCAACATCTGTAAACAGACCAAATCCAGACCGGTCAAACAGCTGCCGCAGCCATCGTCACACTCTGAAGTTGATCAGTTGTAGATTTACTCCTGAACTCATGATTTTGGTTCTGAACATGATGTTGGGATCTTTTTATTTTCTGCGTTTCATTAAAATCCATGTAGCAGCTCATTAGAGATTTTGCCAGCTGACAGATAAACACAAAAATATTAAAAACACATTTTTCCTTTCAGTGATAAATAATATTCAGATGCGTACAAGTGACAGCACATCCTTTACCACCACAAACCAGTACAGAATCTGGGTGGGACTGGGGATAACGTTCAGCATGTTAGAGCAAACTGGCTGCCAATCACTATGTTACTGCTTTGTTTTAGAGTTAATACCGGACAATAAAACAAACCGATACCGGTAGTTTGATTCCCGTCAACTTCCTAGACAGTATGTAGATTTGTAGTCCCTCCAGTATGACTGAACTGCTTACAGTTTATTCTATAAAAGACTATATGTCCCATATGCTGAGGACTGTTGAAAAGTTACCCGTTATGGCTCTTTTTGAACATTTACTTGTGCTTCCCTAGCCCATGTCCCCAGAAAAGTGTGGACACCCTCCCTCAGCCCCCTGTTGGTGAGTTCTGCAGCCAGGCCGGCCTCCTGAACACCTAATCCTGCTCTATTCAAAGCCCCGGCCGGCTCGGATCAAACCCACACAGACACAATTGGCGCCGCAGCTTGTCGAGCGGAGGAATGCAGCAACAAGTTCCCTTTGTGGAATTCCACACAACGTTATGCACGGTCCGAGCTCAGCGTCACATGGCAGCCCACATACCCAAGGTCCTGAACCAAGAACGGAGCGTTCCAGGTTCCTTTTCCTTTTATTATCGTTTGAAAACCGAGCCAAGAGGGGAGGACACGGTTGTTCCGAGAGTGGAGGAGCAGCTGGTCTGCTGGAGCGCGGCCAAGCAGCAGATGTTTCAGTGGGTGTGTCACTCCCTGGCCTTCAAGCATGTGTTGCAAAGTAACGCAATGCAGTCATGAGCCCTGCCAACTAACTGCTGCCACATCGGGAGAAACTGACGCCAGATCAGTTCAGCTCAAACAGCAGGTTAGAAACTACATGAACAGCAAATGTTAGAACATGATCTAGTGAAGGTGGACATCCACCCAGGCTACTGACCTGAAGAATCCGTGTGGGACTCGGAACCGGAGGACACCTGCTTCTTGCCTCCACCGGATAACGGGAAGGTGAGCACTGCAGCCGGGTCCACACAGTCCACAGCCAGGCCTCCGACGGTCCCGGCGTCTGAAGGAGCACCATGTGCCCGTCCTGGAGATGCACCTTTAGCAGGCGCCCCTGTTCCAGGACACGGGGCGAAGCGCTCCCCTACAACCTTCTCCAGCTGCTGCCCCGCCGAGACGCAGCTCCACATGCAGTCCTGGATGATGATGGAGCTCAGGTTGCCGAAGGAGTCCCCGCCCGACGCCAGCTTGCAGGGGACATCCTGCTGCTGCTGTTCATCCTCCTGCCCCAGGAACTGGGACACCCACTCCAGCTTGTCCCCGAGCGACGGGTAAAGGAGTCCAAACTTGGCAGGCCCATCCACCGCCCGGATGGGGGACATGGGCGGGGTGGGCACCAGCTCGAACTTCTTCCAAATGTCCTCGCTGGGCGCGGTGGACTTGAAGAAATCCTCGTCCGGGTCGTGGTCATCGTAGAAATAATGCTGGTAGTGGTCCAGGTGGTCCATGTCCCAGTTTTCATAGCGAGGCGCGGCAGAGCTGATGCCCGGCATGGGGGCTGCAGGCTGGCGGGGTGCGTGAAAAGAAAGAGGATGGAGGGTGTGAATCACTCCTTGGTGCCTCAGTCTGTGCAACGATACAATCAAATTAGTTCTGCAGATATTTTACACCAAAGTCAACAAATTGGTTTTTACAGTGCAGCTACATCGAAACAGAACCAGAGTCTCTGACATTTGGACTTAATTGACACCACGTGAAGATATTATACATTTATAAAATGGATGGCTACAGAGGTTGCTGTTAATCATCAGCACATGATGATCCATGAGGGGATGCTTCCAGGTGTTTCAAAGTTCCTCCTGCTCTGCTAGAAGTTCATTTCTCAGCGCAGATTCATTACATAACCTGATCCAGAGGTTGTGGCTGCTGCTCAGCGACAGCTTCAGATAAAAAGATTACAGCTCGGAGACAGAGTACGTCTGGTGGTTGTCTGTGGCTCCTCCTCGGCTCTGGTCCTTATCAAAGCTCCATGAGCGCAGCTGCATCACTTAATTAGGCTGCAGGCGCGCGCAGAGCTGCGAGAGCATCAAAAAATCCCCAAACCTGCCTCTGAATAATCTCACGAGAAGTTGCTTTGTTTCAAAACAGAGATTAAAAAAGGAGTATTACCTGGTGTGGAGAGTGGAAAACCTGTCCTCGTCTTCATAGATCCACCGTGCGCAAATCCAACGTGTCCAAAGAGGCGCAGCGATCCCGTTTCTTGCCTTTAAATCGGAGCTTTGCCCCTTTCGCTGTTTTTTTTGTGTGACTTCCTTGTTATTTTGTTCTTGCTTTAGGGGACAAACAGTCCTCGAGGTCAAAGGGTCCGGTCGGTGTCGGTCCCACCGCTCCAGTGGTCCGGAACGCTCCCGGCTCTGCTCACTTTTCTTCAGACTGCGGCGCTAATGTGAACCGCGGCGGCGGAGAAAGGGCTGTTTATGCATGAGGGGCGGGGCGTAGTAGCAGAGCCACGCCCACACATTTAAAGGCGCAGTCCGCTCAAAACCAGCACGCGCAGGAGTGCGCGCACCGCTCTGTCTCTGCTTTCTCATATACTGACCGGGAGCTGCTGGTAATCATTTTACAGTCGCAACAGGAGCACGTGTACAAATATATAACTGTAAGATGCTGACTCAGCATTGTTGTTGTTTTCCTGTTTGTTTGTTTGTTTGTTTTTACCATAACTGCTGCTACTTCACCACAGTCACCTGGAAAAACCTGGAGCTCTTTGAAATCAACCTCAGCCTTGCTTCATTCTTTACTGTAAGCTATTAGTTTTCTAATTATTGCTTCTAGGTAATGTTTGTTTGTTTGTTTTTAGCGCTATTGTTAAGACAATTTTACGTTTTCACTTCAGTTCTGCTTATTTATTTATTTTTAGCTTTTGTTGTAATAACTTTAGCACTTAGCTACAGTTTAGTTTGTTTTGCTTTCAACTACTGTTTTGCAGGTTTTAGCTACTGTTTGGCTGACTTCAATTATTGCATTTTATTAGCTAATTTTATGTTTTAGCTACTGTTTTGCTCACGTTAGTTTTTAGTTACTGTTCTGCTAATTTAAAATTTAAGCTACTGTAAAGGTGGTTTAAGTTTTTAGCTACGGTTTAACTAAATTTTCATTTAGCTTTTTGCTACAGTTCTGCTCATTTTAATTTTGAACCACTGTGTTAGTAATTAAAGATTTTAGTTAGAGTTTTGCTTGTTTTAGCTTTCATTGTTTTACTGTATTTTTAATCCTAATTTCAGCTTTTAACTTGTTTCTTAATTTTAACGTTTATTCAAAAAAACTAACTGAGGATCTTCACCAGCATATTTAACATTTATTCAACCATATTCCATATACCATTTAGTCAACCTTAACATTTAGCTACTGTTTAGTTCATATTAGCTTTTAGCTACTAATCTGCTCACTTTAGATTGTAGTTACTGTTTGGTCATTTAAATTATTAGCTAATGTTTTGCTGGTTGTAGCCTTTAGAGACTGTTTTGCTAATTTTAGCTCTTAGTTTTTGTTTAGCTACTTTTAACTTCTACTGTTTTGCTCATTTTTGCATGTAGCTTTTAACACTGCTGCCAGTAGCTTTCATGATTACCATAGTAACCACGCCTTTGTCTCTCACTCACTTACAGATTTCTTAAAAGACAGGTAGACAAAAACAAATCACTAGAAAGTAAGCCTCAGTCTGCTTCTCCTCCGAGACGGACTGAGCGTGGTTGGCCGAAATCAGACTGCCTGCTTCGAATTGAACGAGAAGAACACACCGCTGAAGCCACGGAGCTCGAATGTCCAATGTAAAACTAACTTTACCACGACTTAATGTGGTGCTATGTTTGATTATGTTCGCGACGGAGATTCCTCCTCCCAGTACAGCGGCTCTGCAGACATTGCACGTTGCTGTCCTGCTTTGTGGTGTTTCTAGAGTAAAATACTTCCACACAGCGGACATGTTTCGATGAAAAGTTGGTTAGCCGTTAGCAACAGTGGTGCTAACTCAGTCCTCATGTTGTAACTGGCTGCAAATTACAAAATGGATTTCCTGAATGTGAGGCGGGTCTTATTTCTCTGTGTTTCATGAGACACACCTACGTTCAGGAAATCCATTTCATAGTTTGAAGCCAACGTGCAGAGCAACTGGCAGAGAATCACATGTGGAGAAGTTTCATCAGACCCAGACATACATCATGGATCGGAAATCTCT